TAGAGTAATTAAAATATAATACTCAATCTTGCGAACATTGTTGGATAATAAATAGATTGATTTTATGCATAAAGCTTCATATAATGACAAATTAATAACATAGCTAATTAAATACTTACAACCATTAGATCGTAACAAAATATGTAAAGAAAACATTAGTCTAAATTAAATAAAATATAAAATAATAAGTATGTACTTCGAACACTCTGTAAGAGTATTGATTACATTATAAAATATATATATATATGTAATTCAAAAATACAATTATAAGTTTGAAGAGGTCTATTTTTTTTTTGTATAGAAAATACAAACGACAAGTTCATGTTGAGTTAACGTAGTTTTTCATTGTCATGGTTTTTTGTTTTTTTTTAACATAGTCCTTATACATTTGTATACTTTATTAGTCATCTATATATTTATATAATTGAATTAATTTCTTAGGGTCTGTATTGCAATAGTGGGAAAAAAATAATTATATACACAATTATGCATTTGAAAAAATAACTATAAACTAATTAATAGTGTAATAAATTTTGTATATGTTGTTAAAAATAGTAGTCTTTTATCTGATAAAATTCATAAAAAAATATTGGTTTTGATTTAACACAGTATAAGTATAATAACTAACAAATATTTTAAATACTTTACACGAGAGGTATTACAAAAAAATTGAAATTTAGCTACAAAAAATTTTCTAGCAAAAGGTAATAAATTCATAGAAAAAAAGTTTTTGCGACGAAATGAGTGTTTTTGTTTATACTGCGTTGGTAAAGGTCTTTGGAGACAAATTTGAATTTCATAACGAAAAATAAATTTTTTACAATGAAAGTTAAGAAAAAAAGATATAACTACAAAAATATGATTTCGTAACTAAAGTTTTTTAACTATAAAAATAAAATTTGTAATAAAAGAATTTTAGCAACAAAATATGTATGAATTTTTTAACCAAATAGTTCTAGCTATGAAAGATGATTTTGTAACTAAAATTTTTTTTGCTATGAACATAGGATTTTCTAGCAAAATAATTTTAGCGATGAAATTAATTTTATAGTGCATAATTTATTTTTAACAAAGAAATTAATTTATTGTTGAATTACAAATTTTAACTACAAAAATATTTTATAGTTAAAGATATTATAGTTAAACATATTTTGGTAGTAAGTATTGGTTTCTCTATAAAAAATATTTGAAGTATATTCATTAAAAAAGTAGTTTTTTTTTTTTTTTTCGCACAAAGTACAAATAGATATTAATTATTGGAAGTGTTAGAGCATCAATATATGTTGTTGGAGAAGATTCAATATCAATGAACCTATCATTTGTTATCAAAATCCGACAAATAATAGTAATGTTAAATTTTATATTCTTGATTTTTCGGTTGTCCTTGTTGTTTTACCATGAATATTATCATGATTTACAATCTTTATTTATAGTCGTTTTGTGAAAAAAAATAATAATAATAAAACTATGAATTGTTTTATATATATGGAGAGGTTTATATCATATTGGATAAATAAAAATATAAATATTATATTATATAGAGAACAAAATAAAAAGTTTATATGTGAAAATATATAAAAATTTATAAATAGAAAATAGTAAGGAATAAATAGGAAAATTGAGTGAAAACAAATGTGATTCAAGACAGACAAAGAAAATAATTTTAAATTTTAAATTTTTAAAAGAATTAACTGTAAAATAAAAATAAATAAATAAATAAGATTGATAATCTCATTTGATATAGTCAAATCTATATATAAGTAATATTTATCCATAAATTATTATTAATTGAGTAACAACCTTGTTAAATGGAAATATCTATCATTTTTAATTTTAGTATGTGGACAAAATTTATCCACTTGCAAGCCATTGTAATCGTACCAAAATACAATAAATAAACTGTTTAGTTGCAAACAAATACAATTATCTTCAAGTTATTTGTTTCATCTTTTAAAATGAATTCAAAGACAAATTGAATGAATGAGATTGGTCAAAATGACGTCAAGCATGTGAAACACCTCATCCTATATCATTGTTAAGAGAATTAACTATATATATTCTATCAAGTCAACAATGCGATTATAGAGTCTTGTCTTGACTAAGGAGTACATTTGAAAATATTATTTTAGAGAAAAAAATTATTGTCTTTATTTTTAATCATATTTCACTCTATCTTTGTATATTAATTTGTGTTTATCATTTAAACTCGCCAGAGGAGTTGCCGACGGACGAATTTATCATATATCCAATTGGAGCAGACTCTCAGGTCTGAGCTGACTTATTCTGAAGTTATTATCAGTATGTGTTTGTTACAACAAGAATCTCTAAATGTATTTCAAGGTTAATCATGTAGAATAAATGAGTTGAATTAGTTTATTATTGTTTTTGTTCTGTAATCAGCACCGATTATAGTTTAACTATTTCTAAATTGAGATCCTCCACATGTAGGTTGGTTTACTACTGAACTGGGTCAATAAATATTTATCTCATTTTTTTTTTTTTTTAAGTTCAATATTTATTTTGTTGACAGAGTGATGTAATTACTATGAGTTAACCACGCTTCGAAGAATTGGTCTTTTTATTAGTGTTCGAAGGAGGGCAGCGGCTATAGTACCGACACAAAAAGAAAATGTCAATACCATGTTGATTGATTGATGATTGTTTGATCATACATGTGTTATATTTAACTATTAAGATTTTTAAAAGGTAGAATGATCATTTGAATTTTATGATAGTATTAAAGAATAAAGTATTATTTATATATTATTTATGTGATATTTTATTTATTAAATTTGTTTTTTATATTATAAATGGTATTACTTGTTTAATGAAATTAATAAATAATATTAATATAAAAATACAATGATAATTTTTTTCTAACATTCACACATTATTGTTGTTTTTAGAATTTATATTATTTCATAATTAGATGAAATGATAAATAAATTATATGTTTTTTTTTTTATAATTCTTATGGTGCTTTAATTTTATTTGCATGATATTTTTCGTATGAAGTCGTGCTTTTTGTATAAATTGATTTAGATAGATAAATTATCAATAAAGTATATGGTGTGTGTTGTTTATCTATTATTTATGTGATATTTTTTGTATGAATTTTTTTTTTTTTTTGTAGATTGATGTAGGTGAATAAATTAACAATAAAGTGTATGATGTGTGTTGTTTATATATTATTTTTGTGATATTTTTTATATAAACTTATGCGTTTTGTATAGTTTGATATAGATGAATAAATTAACAATAAAGTGTGTGTGCGTTTTTATATGGTATAATTTATGTGATATTTTTTTATAAAGTTGTGTTTTTTTGTGTAGATTGACGTAGGTAAATAAATTAATAATAAAGTGTATGGTATGTGTTGTTTATATATTATTTATGTGATATTTTTTTTATAAAGTTGTGTTTTTTTGTTTAGATTGACGTGGGTAAATAAATTAACAATAAAGTGTATGGTATGTGTTATTTATATATTATTTATGCGATATTTTTTGTCTGAAATCGTAGTTTCTGTATAGATTGATGTAGATGAGTAAATCAACAATAAAGTATATGATGTGTACTGTTTATATATTATTTGTGTGATATTGTTTGTATAAAGTTATGTTTTTTATATAGATCACTATAGGTGAATTCAATTAACAATAAAGTATATGATGTGTACTGTTTATGTATTATTTGTGTGATTTTTTGAACCATAAACCCTACATACTTTATGAAACCTCATTATAAAAGTTTGGAAAGTCATGTTGTACTTTACATCCTGATGCAGGTGTATTGAAGAAATTTTATCTTATTTTGGAGAACGTTTAGAATGAAAATATGTTGATGCCGGAACGACTCTTAGGAAATGTATGGTAAGGGATTTTACCATTGAAACACAATACTTGTCATAGTTGAAAAGTACAATTTTATTCCTTAACACTAAAACAAGGCGCATATGTAATATTTTGGTCTTCTTTTTAAATATTAAAAACTATTTATTCCGGTAATGATCTTACGAGGGGATGCACTAAAAAATTTTAAAGAGAATGCTTTCGTGGTGAGTTTTTCTTTGATTGGTGAAATTTATTCTATATTTAAAGCTCATGTATATTGTTTAGTGTTCGATTTTGTTTATTAAATGTTTAATGGAAAGAAAATGCTACAAAGATATTTTTACTTATAAAGCTATTGTTTTTATTTTATAATTCTATTTTCTTTTGCTCTACTCCATTTGAACAAATGAAGTACATTGTTGATTGTTACAATTTTAATTTTGGCTCTGCTCTTTTTCATTTGAATATCTATTGGGTTGCTATTATTCATGATGAGGAAGTTATTCTCTTTACCATGAAACTTACAAAGAGAATTGCATTGCTTCATGTTGAAGCAAAAATGACCTTATAATATAGATCTAAATTGTGTTTTTGAGCTTACGACTGAAATACTATCAAATGCAGGTCATTCGGAATTGAGGCAAGCCTTTGAACTTGCTAGCCAAGCCCCCGAAGATTAGATAGGTGCACAGGCTGTAATGATTGATCAGAACTGCAGGATGAAGAAATCGAAACCAACTTCTACTCGTCCTTGAAGTTACTTACTATTAGTTTGCTGGGGTGGTTGTGTTAAATTCACTTGTGCTTTTTGACATTGAAAATTTGTGCTTTGTGTGCAGACACACTACAAAAAAATATATATAATTTTCCACCGAAGTCATTGCAAAATTACAACGGAATTTGCTGAAAAATAGAAGATGGTTGCAGTTGTCATTTGTTGTGAGAAAATATTGCAACATAATTGATTTGTCACAAAAATTCTAATTAGATGAGGAATAATATATTTAGTTGCAAAATTGAGACAGAAATAGTAATAAATTAACTCGGTTGCAAATATCCCATTATTCTTTCTAGGAATTTTTAGTCCGTCGCAATTTTTCTAGTAGAATTACCCCAACTATAATCTCTTGCAAATTTCCCTTAATTAATACCGGGAATCTTTTAGTTTGTCGCAATTTTCCTAATAAAATTACCACACCCCTAATCTCTCGCAAGCCTCAAATTGAATCGCTCCACTTCTCACACTCACCCACGCAATCACACGCAAACACAACGAATCGACGACTTTGAACCGATGTTTCAGAAATTTTATCACATGCGATGGTGGTTTAGAAGCTGAATTCGGAGCTGTTGAGGTTTGTTGATTTTTCACCGTCGCTTTTGCTTAGTAATCGGAAATAATAGCATGTATGGAAGTGTTGATTGATGCTTGCTAGGCACTTTCCTTATCTTCCTGATAGTACACATGACAAAATCTAAGTTGTGATTGAGGCAGGTGTATGTCAACGACTTGTGAAACTGCTTTTGTATGTCCTTATACTTCCAAGCCGAATTCGATCAGTTGTGCGGCTAGGGCGGCATAGCTAACTTCTCTGGCGACACATATTGGTAGCTCTCGGTGTTTTCCCTCATTTTTCTGGTAATGAATTTAGGTTTCACTTAAGGTTAATGTCCAATACTTATTTGCTTGGAAATATGATTAATTGTACATTCATAGTGTTAATTTCATATAGTTTAAATTTTTGAATCAAATCTATCAGGAAGAGGAACATTGTACTTATTGATATTGATAGAAGATCCTTTTCAATTTTGCATTTTCTCTTCTTTTTTTTTTAATATATTCTTTTGTGTGTGCAATGTTCGTCAAATGTCAATGTCTATCTTAGTTGTACCTTACGATTCCAAGTAAATGATTAATTACTCAGTTAGTGAATAATGTGATTAATGCCAAATATGTGTAAATTTAGCTCATCAATTTTCACAATCATTTGAGATATAATTAATTTTTTTATAAACATTGATTGGTATTCATAGCATATCAAATTATTGGATTAATCTGTGATCAAATTTAAACAGACATGATCAATTTCTTTTCCAACTTGTTCAGTTAACTAAACACCTTTAATTCCCACTAAACAGCTTGTCGAGGATCTCTGTTATCTTCGATCAATATTTACCATGTCTATTGTTTTGTTTACATTGTTATATGTTTTCGATACATTTGAGCGTTTTTTGCAGAAATAATACCCCAAATTATATATGATTGATTTATACTACAAGTTTCAAGTTGTTTTCATAAGTTCAAGAAAGTCTACGACGGACAAAAAAAAGTAACACAAATAGAAATGATCAATCAGTACCCACAGGTTGATATCCTCAAACAGTACCGCCATATAAGCCTTTGTTGCCTCTTGAAGTGCCAACACAACATGGCTCTGGAAACACAGATCAATCTTAAAGTTATATGCTATTTCACGAACAAGCCTTTGGAATGAAAGCTTCCTGATCAAGAGCTTAGTACTCTTCTGATGTTTGTGAATTTCACAAGTAGCAACAGTACCAGGGCGATAACGGTGGGGCTTTTGGTTTTGATATATTGTCTTGTGATAGTAAATAATATATTTTGGTAGATATTCATGAAGATTATATATATAATTGAAATCAATTAAAAAAAATAGTCAGTCAAAATCTATACAAAATCTATAGATTTTTTCGTATTATTTCTATTATCCATCTTTCTTATCAATTGATTGTGAGCTAAATTGTTTTTATTGTTCTTAATTTGATATTGATGTTTGATATTTGGAGAAATTTTGATTGACTTAATTTGAAATTGATGTTTGATATTTGGAGAAATTTTGATTGACTGCTTGAACTATATTATTTTGATACTCCTCGTTGATTTCGATTAATATTGCATAGTGATGCAATGTGATTTTGAATTTTTTTTTATTTATTATGTTGTTTGATTTAGTTATTATTTATTTGATTTTTTTTTTCAATTGCGTTATAAGTGATGAGGAGATTTTACAAAGGCTTGTTTTGCAAGGTTGAAGATTAAACCAAATTCATTTGCGAGTCTGTTTAATAAAATAAGTCATTCAGAAACAAGTTTGGAGATGTTTCTTAAATCTCAATGTTCATTAAAAGGTATTCTAGATTCTATGGCATTGGATGAACCTGAAATCTTAGAAATAGATAATAGGTCATTTACCGACAAAGTGATGATTAATATCCTTATACCCATTCATGATGGGGATTTTTGTTGTATTGTAAGACCATCTTGTCAAGTAGGTGATTTGGTTCCGTGTTCCGAGGTACATCAAATTGGCTTTACCTGTGAGCAGTCACTCGCTTACATTGTAACTCCTGACTATATAATTTAAGGTGATTATGTTGCATTCTAATCGAAAACATCACATATTATTCATGTGCATTTACATAATATGTTTGAAGTACTGACATCTTTATTTTCCTCGTACAATTAATATGATTTTGACATGTTTCAAAAAGAGAGAAACATCTCTGTTTAAATTTATCGAGTTTTTTCCATTGAATTGTTGTTTCACTTTGTGTTTGGAACCTTATTTTGATGCAGATTTTAGTATTTTAGAGGATGCAAATGTTCAGACCCCTGTCTTGAAGGAGTGCCCTGAGATCCTGAAGAAGCAAAAATTATTGTTTGATCAAATGGTGGTTTTACCCTATAGGTATGTAAATGAAACTTTTAATATTGAACTGTTCTTTCAGTCATATTACATACATCACCAAGCTTATAAAAATTTATGAGTGAATGTGCTGATAGAAGAATCATTGGCTAACCAAGCAACTGCATTTTGGCAACGCTGAACTGCTAAATATTTGCATGTATTTTTTGTACCACATTATGAAATTGGAAAGAAGAATATCCAAGTAATTTGAAACGTGAATAAATGAAGATTCCTCATAATGTTCTACATGTCTGGAGAGTTGGAAAATGGGGCCGTGCGTCTCATTCGTCTTTGACTATCTGGTAATCTATGCAAGAATATACTTATATATATATATCACCCGAATTTTACCGCAGCAAATAAGGTCTCCTATCTTCGTACAAATAAAACCAAGACTACTAATGATCTTATCACCTCATCTAAAATCTAAAATAACAGAAAAAACAGCCATTGTTGCGTGAAGAACAAGAGTTGGCTTGGGTGCTTCGTGATCATAAGGTATTAAATTATATTAGATGCTCCGAGTCTTTTTGCAGCATAGAAAAATCAATATAACTTGCAGTTCAGCCACCACTATCATGTATGCATATTAATTTTGACTACTTACTAAAATGATTAACAATCTTTTTTCTTTTTACATTTGGTCCCGTTTATTTTAATTAGATTAGATGTTTAAAATCAATTTTTATATGGAAACATTGTCTAACATAAAAAGTTAATTAGTTGACGCTATTGTATTAGAGTTTGTTGATCTTAGTAGTCATATGCATTGTCATATTATTATTATTATTATTATTATTATTATTAGTTTGTATCAAGGATCTTTATGATTTTTTTTGAAAAACTAACATGTTTTCATCCATATTATTTTCAAGATGATGTGGATAGTTAAAGCGCAACACACACTTAACAAGAAAATATGTTATACGATCTTTGTGATTTTTTTTATGAATTTGGTTGTTTTTTTTTATGATATTTTGATAACCGGAAGTATATTTATACATTTGTCTAGTATTTGTCCACTATGGTACTCATAGTAAATACATTTGTTTGTATGTGGTCTATTAAACTTTATTTAGGTTTGAAATCTCTATATAATTTTAGTTAGTTATCGTATTTTTTATGAAAGATATTAATCGAATCATTAAATTGTGTTGATTATGGAGGATTGAATTATTATTTGTTATATAGGTTTTGGAAAAACCGACAAAAATTAGCAAAAAAAAAAAATTGAATTTGCGGTCTACTATAGAAATTGAGACAAAATTAGCAATAGTTATATTCTCTCGCAAGTTACTATTCCATTAGCTATAATTGCGACCGGATTTTGCAATAGTTATATTCTCTTAGAAAAATGCATTTTTTTACAACGGAATTAGCAATAAATTTTTCGTTCCATAGTAAAAGGTTGCAACGGAAATTACGGTCACTAATTTAACAACAATTTTTTTGCTACGGAAATATTATTAGTTGTTTCATATTACAACAATAATATTTACTATAATTCTCACTTGGTCGTAAATTCCATTGTAATTTAAAGTTGCGACGAAAAATTTGTCAGTTGTAATGGAATATTTCCGTAGTAATTCTCAATTTTTTTGTAGTGACACAAATGCTAATCGAAACCTCTATGGTCGAACATCAACTTTTAATAGTGAAATCGTTCTTTTTGTGTAGATTGATATAGGTGAATAAATTAACAATAACGTGTATGATGTGTTGTTTATATATTATTTATATATGATATTTTTTGTATGAAATTATGTTTTTTTGTGTAGATTGATGTAGGTGAATTTAATTAATAATAAAATATGGTGTGTACTGTTTATATATTATTTGTATGATTTTTTTCTAAAGTTATGTTTTTGTATAGATTGATATAGGTAAATTTAATTAACAATATAGTGTATAGTGTGTGTTATTTTTATATTATTTATATGATATTTTTTTGTATAAAGTCAGACTTTTTGTTTAGATGGATAAATTATCAATAAAGTATATGATGTGTGTTATTTATATATTATTTACGTAATATTTTTTGTATGAAGTTGTGTTTTTTTTATGTAGATTGATGTAGGCGACTAAATTAACAATAAAGTGTATTGGTGTGTGTTGATTATATATTATTTTTGTGATATTTTTTGTATGAACTCGTATTTTTTGTGTAGAATGATGTAGGTGAATAAATTAGTAATAAAGTGTTTGGTGTGTGTTGTTTATATATCATTTATGTGATATTTTTTTGTATGAAGTCATGTTTTTTGTGTAGATTGATGTAGGTGAATAAATTAATAATAAAGTGTATGGTGTGTGTTGTTTATGTATTGTTTATGTGACTTTTTTTTATAAAATCTATTTTTTGTGCAGATTGACATAGGTAAATAAATTAACAATAAAGTGTATGGTGTGCTCGGTCCAAATGGACATTTTGGGATTTTGTAGTACATTAAGAAATAATAGTATTTTATTAGTGAGTGGAAGTGTGTAAGAGATTTTGACATTTTTGTCATTTTACTTTATGTAAAAAATAATTGTACGTATAATGGTATGTTTGTAATTTAAATAAAAGTTATTGGTATTTAAGTATTGGTGTATGATTACTTTTACTAAAATAGGAAATGAATACTTTAAAGTGAGACATACGAAAATGGTAAAAATGGTACTTTGAGTTCGGACGGATTGAGTATTATTTGTGATATTTTTTTTGTATGAAATCGAATTTTTTGTATAGATTGATGTAGGTGAATAAATTAACTATAAAGTTATAGTGTGTACTGTTTATATATTATTTGTGTGATATTTTTTGGTATAAAGTTATAATTTTTTGTATAGATTGATGTAGAAAAATAAATTAATAATAAAGTGTATGGTATGTGTAATTTATATATTATTTATGTAATATTGTTTGTATGAAATTGTATTTCTTTTATGTAGATTCACGCAGGTGTTATTCGTTTTCATGATTATACTTTTTTAATAAATAAAAATATTATATTGTTTTATGATTGGCTAAATAATTAAATAAAATTTATTTTTTATATTTTTCATGTATGTTTATGTTTTTTTAATTTTATTTTTTGATTTTTTTTATATAAAATTGTGCAATTTTATATAAACTAAGGACTATTGAACTTTTTTTAATATAATAAATTATAATTAATCAGCACTGTAATCTTCTCCTCCGAGGAGATTTAGTTGAACCTTATTTTTCAACAAATCTTATTAAAAAAAATGTAATGAAAAAAAAAATATATGTTATCAATTTTAGTTACATTTAAATTAAATTAATTAATTTTAATTTCATATTAGATGATACATGTTGAACATTGCTTTGCATATATCACACACAGATATGTTTACTATATTTATCATCATATTATAATATTGATTACGTTGTTCCGGTCAATACAACCTTGAACTCAATATAACTATTTATAGACCTTAGTAGTTTATTGTTCTAATATGAACCTGTTTAAACCAATAATATGAATAAAAATTAATTTTAATTTAAATATGATTAAAATTAACCAAAAAATTTCAATAGACCAAACATTATTACTCTATTAGTCCCGATCTTATAGATATATATGTTATTGTAGATACTAAAATTTAAAATATATATAATTAATAAATAATTAAAAATATATATAAATAATTATCTTATAATATAAATAATTATAAATTAATACTATTAAAATAACTAATTAGTCTGATTAGAATTAAACAAATATATAATTTTAAAATTTTAAAATAAAATTAAAGTGTAATTCTTTTCTATAAAAACAAGAAAAATGATATTAGATATAGAGACAAAAATTACCATATAGACAAAATAAGTGGAACGAAGGTATACTCCTTCCGTCCAGGGTCATAGGATCCTTTTGGTTAGGGACACGATATTTTAGATGGTATAGATGATTCATTTGGTTAAAGCCACCATAGGTAATATAGATTAATAAATTATTAATAATAAATTATTTTATTATTTTATTATTTTTTAAGTGAATAGTATTGTGGTATTTTAAATATTTTTAGTATTTTATAAAGCAATAAAATATATACAATATAGATATTATTTTATAAATAATAAAATTTTATATAATACAAATAAATATAAAATAATTAACTTAAAATTAATTTTATAAAAATAAAATAAAATTTTTAAATATAAATAAAAATATTTGTTTATCGAAAAGACACAAACTAACAAATTTTGAATGAGTCTTGTGGATAAAGTGTAATAAGTTAAAAAAAATTAATTATTGATTTATATTTATTAGAGTATATTAAAATAAATAAATAAAAAGTATTAATCTTTTTATATGACAAAAAAATAAAAACAATTTTTTCCCGTAATATATAATAAAAAACAAATTAAATTTCTTAAACCCTACTAAACAACTTTTTCTTAATTTCCCGTAATATATAAAAGGAAACGGCGGTTTACCGTTTACGGTTTGATTAAAATGTAAATGGCGGTTCCGGTTCAATTCGGAACCGCCGGTTTGAAACCGGTTCGGAAAGTGTACTGTGTCCATCTTTCTTCTACAGTGGAATTGAATCAGAACCCCAACGGATAAGATAAGGCGAGCTTCAGAACAATCCTTCCTCTCAGAAATGGATTCCACTCTCTTCACCTTCCCTTCCTCCGCCCATCCGCCATCACCTGCGCTCTCCCTCAAATCGCGCTTCAACAACCCCTTCTACCACCACCGCCGCCGATTCCTCGCCGGCCGACCTCCGATTGCCCCCAAAATCAGGGCGGCCATAAGCCGCACGAAGAAAGAAGAAACCGTGGAGAAAGTAAAGCAACAGCTGGATGAGTGCCACCTCATCGCCGGCATCGGGTACAAGGGCTTGACGGTGCAGCAATTCCAGGATCTCCGGACGCAGCTCCCCGCCACGTCGACACTCCTGGTGGCGAAGAACACACTTGTCCTGAAGGCCATTGAAGGCACAAAGTGGGAGGCTCTGAAGCCGTGCATGAAGGGGATGAATGCCTGGCTGTTCGTCCACACCGAGGAGATCCCCGCCGCCCTAAAACCCTACAGAACTTTCCAGAAGGAGAAGAAACTCGAAGACAATGATTTCACTGGGGCGGTCTTCGAAGGGAAGTTCTACTCTCCCGATGAGTTCAAGGCCCTGGAGAATCTTCCCACCAGAGCCGAGGTTTATGCCACCATTCTTGGGGCTGTGAAGGGCCCTGCTTCTGCCATTGTGGGGACAATTCAGGCACCGGCTAGGGATCTCGTCATGGTGCTCAAAGCTTACTGCAAGAAGCTTGAAGAGGGGGAGCCCTCTCCCCAATAGTGGTGCTGTAAGTTAATGCTATTCTTTCCATGAAATTGAGATTTGATATGATTTCATTGCCCTTTATGTAGTGAGCTCTGTATTTTCTGCCTTTTTTCTTATGCTGTCTGCATTTGCATTTTTGTTCTTGGTTTCTTTCTGGGAGTTTAGGATTGTCTTTGTGAGTTCAGGTTCATATTGATTCAGTTGAAATGTAGGATATAATATTGTGCCTATGGTTTAAATTTTGACATGGTGTCTATTGTTTATTCTGTAGCTTTTTATTTTCAGTGGAAATTTGTAGCTATTATAGTTTGTTAGAAATTTATTTGATGATCAATGCTTGCCTGTGTGTTATATAATCTTTCTAGAGGTGGATGTTGTGTGCCTGTGATCGATCGATCGCCCTAGATTCTAGAAGGTCAAAGATATAAAGCAGCATATGCTTGGTGAGAAAGAGTGATGCTTGACACTGTAATTGATTTTATTGGTTGTTATTTTTATATATAATATTTTATGATGATTGAAACATAAAGAAATTGTCTTAGATCATCTCCATCCCCTGTGAATCCAAACACTAACATTTAGTAATTCGGAAACTTGTGGCATATTTTGGCATTGTGGCCTTTGTGCTAGTCTTATAAATTATAAATTTCTTCATTGATGTACAAATATCTATCAAATTTAGAACATAATAATTATGCCTTATAGTTTTTTTTTTTACTTAAGTTTACATTATATCAAACATGTTTTATGTAAAGAATAAATTTTGTTTTCATATATCGATTAAATTTTGGTGCTGCATATTTTTCATTAATTATTAAACAGATAGATATGATTTTATTAATTTAGTTTATTATTTATACAATTATCAAATAATAAATATATTTTCAATCATACAACAAAAAATCAGAGTACCGAATGACAAAGTCAAGACACTGTTATTTATAGATATGATAAATGATTTGAAATAATGTGTAAAAGAGAATCTCCAAAGGATCTATTTGTTCATTGTTTTGGACTCTTGGTGTAGTTTATTATACCTGCAGAGGTGGGTCGGAGATTGCCTACATCTAGGATATAGATAAATCAGATATGGAAATTTTATCATTTGACTTTAATATAATATATATGAGCAGCTATTGATTATATATTTGTTATTTTTTCTGATTAAATCACATATTTCTCGAGAATTTTTATTTTTTAAGTCATTGTTTGATAGGTGAGATGTCTGTTTCTCTTTGGGAAGAAATATAATAAGTTAGTAACAAACACCAAACAAGCTTTTAAATTGTCTGTTTAAGCTGTAGATAGCTAGAGATAAATTTTTGTAAAAATGACTATATAAGTATTGAATCAATCATTGTGACTGTCACAACGCAAATTGCCAAATTCCAACCTACTGAATTGATAACTAAGTGAAGTTATTATAATAGTTAATTGGCATATGTAACTGTTCAATTCTTGTTACTTTGATAATCGTGGGATGGACTTGAACATACTCTGATTTAGCCTGGATTTTTATTCAACTAACAACGGTTCTATTTTTACTGCTGTAACATGTAGGGATCCTATTGTAAATTGTCCCCAATGTGAATCTCGCGAACTGATCAGATATCCACTCTATTACACAAGTATCTTTGTTCGTATCTTGGCTATGTTGATGAGTCAAGTCTTAGGTGGTGGGAGGCTCTGAAAGACGAGCTTTTATATTATCTAATTACAACTCTATGTGGCTTGTTAGAGAGGGTGCGAAAGTTTAGTTATTGATTGTTCATCCAGTGATCGGACACATCTTGGTGTCACGAGCAGGTACAGAGCCGTCACAAGTGCATATTACAGGGGTGCTCTGGAGGACGACATTGGCTTATGAAATCATAAAAGAAAAAATTTTGACCACATCCTGCGTCGGCTAGATGAGTTGCTTTCTCGTGCCGACAAGAACACAGTAATGGTTGTTTACGCATGACTGCACTAATTATTGCGAAATGAATTGTACCTGTGTTGAAACATTAATTTTATTGCAAACAAAGATTGTTATTTTTCATATCTATGTATGATGAGCTAGTTCTGTGATATATTTAAAATTCTTCTTCTTTTCGTTTATTAAGATTTACATAAGTTGAAGCTAACATGTCAAATACTAGGCTGTTGTTTTATTGTACTACATTTGACTTATATCAAGCTTCACCGCCTCATGTGGCTCAATTTGATGCAAAGAGGCTCTTTAAATTTCGAGACAAAGTGCTGATGTCTTACCCGCCGGAATGAGGTTAAAGTTCTTTTGTGTTTAGAACTGTAACCGTTTGAAAATTTTGATTTTGTTCATATTTTAACATGGTGGACAACATTTTGTGTGATATTCAGGTGGAATTTTCAGACATTGCTGAAGACACTTTAAGAATGCTGCAATGTTTGAAATGGGAAACTTGTGGATTTTTCTGTAAGAAGCATCTGGTCGAACCTATAGAGAGCAGTCCAAGCTGATCATTCTGCTATATTCATGGAAGATATGGTAGATCCATCCTTGCCTAAAAAAGATGTTCTCTATCGTTCTTTGATGACACAATTAATATCTGTAAGTCCCAACATGGATGTTGCAGACTCCTGCAATGTAAAATTTGTTTTTATGTCGTGTGATTCTCGCGATACCTAATACCATCATATCTATTTGTAAGCATTAAGTTCTGGTTTGCTGCAGGTGATTGCAGAAGTTTGAGAGCAACTTCCACCCGACAATATTGTGTTGATATACTACTCGGTCTCAAGTTGCTTTTTGGTAGCAACTGATTGCTTATTTTGAGCTAGATTTAGGTACATGGATTGAATATAAATTGTGTTTTGGATTTGCATGATTAATATCTGCAGAAATTGTGTTGAAATAATTTTCACTCTAGGAATAGTTTGTTTATCTGTAGGTTCTATGTAAAGCTACATCTATGTGTTTATGATTCTACATTATTCTATTGTCGTCAAGTTCTTGAGTTTCCTTGCCTAGATGGGAGCCTAAAATACATTAAAAGATCCATGTTTGGCAATATTTGTGCTTTAGGGTTTATGTTCTCGATCTCTTTTGTGGTCTGTTATAATATTAGTGAAGTTAGTGATGGGATTAGAGTACCACATGTGATTTTATGAATGTTGCTATTTTGGGATGTTCTTTCGGATATTACTGCAGTCGGATTTTACTTTTTATTGTTGAAAATAGCATCAACAATTATAATAAGTTTTAATATATACACTATATAAATTTTACTCACTTCGTTCAGTTAATAAATTTATATTGATTTTTTGCGTTATTATAATTAATATTAAATATATTTTTATATTTGTATAATTTATTATAATAATATTTGTATTATAAATTACTAGTATAAATTTTTTTCTCTTTTTATACTATATAAATTAATAATATTAATATTTTTTATATTTTTATTTTGAAAAATTAAATACATAAAACAATTTATATATAAAAATATAATTATTTTAAATTTTAAAATTAAATTTATAACTTAATATGTTAAAATATATAATAAAATAATATACTAAAAAACTAACTGTCTCAATTTAAGTACCCTTTAAATTCGATTTCAAAGTATCAATTTTTGTTTTTTAACTAATATTATTAGTAGCAAAATATTTTAAATTTTTATATATATTTTTTTCTCTCAGCAAACAAACCAATCAAATATAATTTTAATACCAAATTCAAACTAAATTTCTTTTCAAAAAATACTTTAATTAGTTTTTAATTGACTAAAAGCTTTTCAAAAAATATCTTTTAAACCAATTTTTTCAAATTATAGTATTTGAATTCTGTATTTTTTGAAAAATAATATTTTATTATTATTTTAATATCAAATTCAAATCAAATTTTCTCACATAAGCTCCTCACCGAAGAACCTCTTATTACACCTCACTGTTTGACCATTATACCGATATTCTAGACTTATTCATTTTAAACAAATCCTAAAAACCGTATTAAGTTAAAAATAAAAAATAAAACTTAAAAATAACAAAAATTAAAAATTAAAATAAATAGCAGTTAAATTACATGAATCCGCATCATTCGTTAACTTATAATCCCAGCCGTACATTAAATTCAAGAAAACACAACATGCTCCATCCATCACCGTTAGATTCTGCCATCTAAAAGCACATGAGCATTAATTTCTGACCGTCCGATGCACCTCAGCTGCCAATATATATATGGGCCGGCCGCCCACTCTACCAAACTTTATCCTTTCGCACCTTTCGTAGTTTCAGATATTCAACGAGGCAAAGAGTTGGGAAGACATTCGTTAGATTGAGAGGTCAGCCGGTTATTTTTGTTTTCTTCCTTTGTCGCCGCAATTAATTCGATTTTTCTTTGTACGATTCTCTTGTATTGGTTTTTTCACTGCTTTTGTGATTCGGGTTTTGAATTGGTGTATATTTGTGACTTTTACGCTCTGGGTTTCTAGGGTTAGGGTTTCTTGTCGATTGTTTTGTGTTGATACATCAATCCTTGATTTGGGAATCTTCGATTACGTTTCTTTATTATTTTTATCTGGCGTGTGATTCGAGGATTATAATGAAGGGGATTTCGTAAGGGGAGCATGCGGCTTGATGAATTTGAATGTGGCTGAAATCGATTATTGTTCGCACCCAAACAATGAGCGAATGTTCATATGTATTCTGGTAGTCAATGCCAAATATCCAATGAGATCATAATATCAAAAAAAATTAAAAAGAAAAAGAAACTCCTGTTAGATCTATTGTAATTTCGAAGTATGTAGTCTTATAACTTGGGTTATCTTCTTTGGTGGTGTTCAACCTGCGGTATGGTAATATAAAGATCTTCCAGACATTGTTTTCACCTAAATTTTAAATATACAAGAAGTCGTTCCCAAAAAGAAGTTTTATGCACAGGAAACCCATGATTATGAGCAAGTAACCGACCCAATGAATGCCAAAAAGATTATCTAGTTTTTCCCATAATACACTTTTTTGTTTGTTACCCTTTGATTCAATGAGTTTGGAAGAAAAGGTGGAAATTTTAATTTACTTTTTTAAGAAACTGAATTTTGTTGTTTGATTTCAATTGTTAGGCATATTATGAACTGCTATGATTGACATCCCTAATAATTATTTTGTTGTGACTTCATTTTTTATAATTGGGACATGTTAAATAGATGGCTCGTACAAAGCAAACTGCACGTAAATCTACTGGAGGAAAGGCTCCTAGGAAGCAACTTGCCACGAAGGTTTGTTGTGGTCACTATTTGTGTATATATTCATATTGTGGTTGGTAATCTGACTTTTAATTAGATGTAGAATGGTGTAATGTTAACTTGTTATGCATTGGTTAATTATAGGCTGCTCGTAAATCTGCCCCAACCACCGGAGGAGTAAAGAAGCCTCATCGTTATCGCCCTGGTACTGTTGCCCTTCGGTGAGTAACATTTTTTTTTATTCCATTTCTGTATTGATAACATTTTTATCCAATTATCCAACATTGATTGATATGTGCATTGTAACAGTGAAATTCGCAAGTACCAGAAGAGTACTGAGCTCTTGATTAGGAAGCTGCCTTTTCAGAGGCTTGTTCGTGAAATTGCTCAGGACTTTAAGGTTGGATTGGGACTAGGAATCTTAATATTACCTCTGATTTAGATGGGCCATGATTTTTCTTTCCCTTTTTCTTTGTTTTTTTTCCTGAGGTTTATGGTTGATGTTTGTGTTACAGACTGATCTGCGGTTCCAAAGCCATGCTGTGTTGGCTCTACAGGAGGCTGCTGAGGCTTACCTTGTGGGTCTCTTTGAGGACACAAACTTGTGTGCTATCCATGCCAAGCGTGTGACCATAATGCCGAAAGACATCCAATTGGCTCGTCGAATCAGGGGTGAGCGGGCTTAAGCGTGCTTGTCTTTTTAATTCAGTGTGGTGGTGGTGGTTGGTGGTGTTATATGGTGGTGGAATTATTGATTAGGTGGTAATTGTGGTGGTAGTTATTATGATCGGCAAAACTCCCTATTAGGATGGATTTGTGTGTTTGGTTTGTTGCTCAGATTGAACTGTGGCATTGGAATCTAGTGTTTTGTTCTGTTTTGTTTTGTTTAGGTGTTGTGTGCATAAAGAACGGGTATTTGATTTAACTGTAATGTTTTGGATCATGAAAGGATGATGATTATAATGGGGTTGATTTTGGTTTGTGTTGAAGTTATAGTTCTTGGTTTTGTGTTTTGATTTTTGATGATTACACTTGTTTCAACAATGCATGTTTATCAACAAGTAAGCTGCCGAGAGGGTGTTTGTATTTTGAGTTGTCTAGTGATAAGAATCTGAATAGTGGTTTGGGTATAGACAATTTGAGTTCTTGTAATGAAATCATAATGGGAACTCTATATGCTATATTGATCTAAAAAGATTAAAATATGGAAAAAAATCAAAATTAGTTTCCCTGAAATTAAAATTAATCAATTTTTATTTCATTATAAAAAATTAATTTTTAGTCTAAAGTATGATGTGGCATTTGAGCTGGACCAATATGGCCGTGTTCAATAAAACATGACTAGCAGAATATGGTTTTCTTGTTCTGTGTGTTTGGCTCTGATTGCCTTCGTTTTTCACAAATAAGCTCTTTGAATTCATCCTGAGGCTTTTTTTTTTTTCCATACTTAGTTACAATATGTATGCCTTCTTCAACCTTCTTATTGTCATGCCATTCTTCTTCCCTTGCCCCTGGGTTCTTCATCTTTCCTCTTCTCCACCTTCTTTTCCTCTACCGGTTTTTCAATTTTTTTACTACCGCGGTCGTTTTCTTTTTCATCACCGCCTCGGCAGCATCTTCGTCGTCTACTCCGCCATGGCACAAAAAAGTATCAGAGCAGTTTAGAATACATAAACAATCAATTTCTGTAGTAGAGAAAGAACAAAAAAAAAAAAAAAAACATAAAGGGTTATATCTATCTGTATTGTATTTGTATTTGAGTTTGTGTTTGAATCATCAATCAAAATTCATTCACTGTCTTCATCATCATTAGAGGGAAATGAGGAATAAAATTAAAAGAAAAAAAATTGGGGATAATATACACGGCCATGTATTGAACACGGCCGTGTTGTTGCAGCTCAGATGCCACGTCATACTTTTTATATCCACGTGAGCAATTATAGTTAAATTTTTAATGATAGGACCAAAATTGATTAAATTTATTAATGAAACCAAAATTGATTAATTTGAGTTTCAATGGGACTAATTTTGATTTTTTCCCTTAAAATATTGATGTGATTTTTGTCTATTTTATCCAAATATATTTTTAATTTTTATTTAGATTATAATTTATCAATAAATAATCTTCATCCTTGAACTATCTATTTTGATTGTTACTATTATCAATGCTACTCTTATACTACATGGAAGCCGACGCCCGTGCTTAGAGCACATACAGTCTAAGCATATACAGTGACTTTGGGTAAATAAAAAATAAATACTAGTCTTGTGGTGACGTCCTGGTGCTTAGAGCACATACAGTGACTTTGTGTAAGTAAAAAATAAATGCTAGTGACTTTGGGTAAAAAACAAATGCTACTTTTATACAACATGGAAGCCGACGCTATGGTGCTTAGAGTATGTGACTTTGTATAAAAAATAAATGCTACTCTTATACCAAATGGAAGTCGACGCCCTGGTGTTTAGAACATATATGGGTAGACACTCTGTTGCTTGGGTAAAAAATATATATATACATATAGTGGCTTTAATAAAACTGATAGAGCCACTGTGATTTTTCGGAATGAATTTGGCTAAACTAGTTCGATTCAAATAGATGGACATCTAATTTAGGCCATTACTCTTGCTCTTAGGCTCCGTCTGATTAGATGCTCAGACCAGTCGTCCTTTATATGCAACAAATTTGAATATACCATGTAATATGAGAAATATAAATGGAACACACACGACACCGAGAGCCATCATATGAAACGAACTATGACCGAAGTCTAATAAGGGGCTCGGACCAGCCATCTCTCATATATAACAAGTTTTGGTATACCATGTAGTATGTGAACACGTACCTGCATCGAAACATAGACCATCATATGTATAGGAGGAATAAGGGAACGTACACATGGGATGGACTATGATCGAATTTTTTGGATGATCTTTTATTTCATTACATATATTATGATGAGATATTCAAATATAATATATATATATATATATTATTACTGCATTGCCTCAATTTATTGTACTATTTGAATTTTCCAATTTCGTCTAGGGTGTTCAATTTGAGGTTGGTTGAACTCTTGGGGTTTATGGTTTAGGTCCTAAATCTTGATTGGGTACTGTGGGCTGGTCCGGAGGCGGAGACGTATGAATAGGTCAATACTTTCAATTCAAATCACATCCATCCTACGATTCTCAATATCGAATACTTTTCGGCTCCACTTTTGATCTCTAGGATGGAATGTGAATTTGATTGTGCTTTGTGAGGAATGGCATAGATTAAATGATCGGAGCATCCATTAGAACCCAATCAAGATTTAGAATCCAAACCATAAACTACAAGAAATCCCAAATTGAACGTACTTAAGACGAAATTGGAAAATTCAAAGAGTAATTATCCCTCACTCATCATTGTCCACATGCAAGTTTGTATGGTGGCGTTTTATCTCTTTCCATGTTAGTAGTGTGTTAGTTGATTTCTGTGTGTAGATAAATGATGTATAGTCCTGACAATTTAAATTTTTAGATGCGACTATTATTTACATCTTTTAACATATATAAATTTGTGTACAAATTAGAGGTGACAAAAATAACCACGGTTCAAAAGTCCGGTCCGAACACGACACAAAAATATCGTGTTTGGGCTTCCAAAAGTAGGCCTGAAAGTTTTCGGGTTGTGTCGGGCCGACACGCTAATGACCCGAGCCGTGTCTGGATTTTAAAATTAATATTTAAATTTTAATAAATTTATATATATATATATATTAATTTTTAAAATAAAAACAAAAATTACAACTTGATTTGATGGTAAATGTTTTAATTTGTATATATTTGGTTGTGGGTTCAATTTTCACTTTTAATATTAAAATATATTTTGTTGTAAATTAATTCAAAAATAAACAAAATAATTTAATATTTTTCTTTTTAAAAAGCGGGATGAAATCGGGCCGATTTGCCACCCATGGTACCAATTACTTGTTATCAGTGTTTCTCCAGCATAATCTTAGGGTGGATTACTATGCCCAGTTTTGGGCTGAATGTTTGAAAAAAAAATAAATAAATACATAAATTCAAACTCACCTCAAAATTCAAATAAGAATCAAACTCAAACTCATCTTTCAATTTGTCATAATTAAAACTAGATTCAAATTTTTCATTACATATATTTTAGTGAAATATTCAAATATAACGTATTTTGAGCAAAGTAAATTATGTACAGAAATAACAAATAAGTGTTTGACTTCTATTTAAAACTAAAATCACATTATTCAATTCATCTTCCATTACGTTCTAAAACAAATACTCATATATTTTTATTTTTTTTCACAAATACTAAACTATTAAAAAAATATTATTTACATCTTGATCTAAATTTACACTTCATTTCAAACCAATGTACTTCTTTTTCCATAATGGACAATTATTTTTATATGGTTGGACACAAGTTTTTATAAAAGTAAATAAAACTCAATATAATCATATCTCTTTCTAAAAAAATCCTAATTCCATCCGACTATTTATCTTTTTAACAAATTTTAATTCTCTAAAATAATTTTATAAAATAATCCAAACCTATTAAATATTAAAATTAATTTCAAAATTATAAGTGCACACAAATTAAAATTTTTTGTCAAATATATATACTAGCGGATAACCTAAAGTTATACACGGAACATTTATTTAAAATTATAAATATAAATTTTACTTTTATATTATAATTTTTCTAATCTACAAAATAAAATATTAGAATATAATAATTTAATAATAATGAAAAAAATTTGATTAGTAAAAAATAAAAGGAACATAATAAATAATTAAAAAATACATATAAAATAATAATGAAAATACTAAAATAAAATATTTTTTTTATAGGAAAGATGGATATAATTTACAAAATTTAATATAATTTGGATAGGTTTTTCAAGTATTCCTTGAAATAAAAAGACACAATTTGAATATAACTTACAAAATTGAAAATATTAGTGTTGTCGCTCAAAGTATTTTTCAGTCTAATTTGTCGGATCGAGTCTACTGAAAATCCAATGAATTCTCTAACTTTCTAAAAGAAGACTCGAAATTATTTTCGTAAATAATAAATGAGACAAAAATAAAAGAAATGAAAACAATAAATAAAAAAAAAGGACAAAAATAAAAATAAGAAAGAAAATCAACGAAGCAAGCCAAGAAGGGTATGTTTGTTTGTGAGATTTGTCCATAAATCCACTATTCATCCAATTTTTCTCCTAAAAAAATATCAAATCAAACATCTATTTTTTATTTTTTATATTATACTAAAAACCAATTTTACATTCAAAACATCACATCAACATCTATTTATATCATAGAACTATTTAAATTCAAAATTTTTACTAATTCAAACTCCAATTCAAAATCCATGCCCCAAGAAACACACCCTAAAAAAGGCAAGGAAAAGTAATGCAGGGAAGCAAAATAAATGTGCAGAAACGAAAGAATGAGGAAAGAAACAAAATTCATAAAATTTCAAATTTGTGTGGGGAGAGGGAAAGGTGTTATGGATGTGTTTGATCGGGGGTTTAGCTTTTGGATTGAGATTTGAATAGTAAAAATTTTGAATTTGAATAGTTGTATGATGTGATATAAATAGGTGTTGATGTGATGTTTTGAATGTAAAATTGATTTTTAATACAATATAAAAATAAAAAATAGGTGTTTGATTTTATATTTTTGGAAGAAAAATTTTGGATGAATAGTAAGATTTTGACAAAATCCTACAAACGAACACACCCTATATATTTAATTTAAATTTGGTTAATATTTTATTTTATCCAAATTTATATTATTGAAAATTAAATAATATTTTATCTCAAATAATATTTTATTTTTTCCAACTTTATATTATTGAAAATTAAATAATATTTTATCTCAAATAATATTTTAGGATAAAAATTAAAATACATGATTCTGAACTAAATCAATTGAAAAATAACATTATATATATAGTGCATAATAAAAA